TGAAGAAGCAAGGAATAGAGATCGAATGAATCAAGAGATTTTATTTGTTTATTACAATGTGAGAGAGAAGTCGTCGTAAAGTCAGCGGAAGAAACTGATAAAATAGAGCAGGTTCGAGAAAAGTAAAAGACATTTCAATTCAATGACCAAAAAGCTTACAGACAAATTGGACAAGAACAATAAAAATATCTCCGGCACGTACGAATTACGTAACGCACAAAAAGACTCTTTTTTTTTTCACCTCGTCAAAGCTAAGAGTAATTTGCAATATGTCCCTACCACTTGGTTCTTTTTGTAGTTTCAAACACGAAAACGTTTCAAGTACTAAAATATAGTTACAAGATATTAAATAATACAAATCGGATAAATACCACTATTTTTTTTTACCGGCAACTTAACTTTATTAATAGAGTAAAACGCTCGTACAACAGATTATTACAGGGCAATATAACAACTCTAATGTTAAAACCGGAATCCGATTAGAATCGGTTAAATGGTTACCAAAAAGCAAACGTTACTGAGTCATTATAACGAGCCCAACAATGATAACTTAACAAAAATACAAACTGGGATATAATATATAATTGGGCTTAATATACACAAAGCTAGCCCAAAAGGAGATGATGATGACACGTGGAGGCTTCTCTTAAACTCGTCCATATGCTCATCGGAGATTTTACAATCACTGTGGCTGAAGGATTTTCCGATCCCCGGAAGACATTGACCTGAGAGAGTTCGTTTCAACAACGGAAAACAACAATCAAAAGAAACTTATAAGCTCAGTTAACAAAATTAAAAGCAAGTTATATAATTCTTAGACCGTCGAAAAGGAAATGAACAATTATTGGTGGACGCTTCAATAAGGAATGGAACGATTCCACTATAGGAAAGACATGACCGAGATGAAAGATTCTCTTTCATTATTGAATAGTTCAACAATAACTGGTCATTACCTTTTATGAAAATTTCAATGTAAAACAATTTTTCTTTGTTCAAATGGAATTCAAAAAAAAAAAAAACCATACAGCTCAAAGAACAATATCACAACAAACAACTGCAAATACCTGTATATCTAACACACAATTTGTTCACAATGACCAAACGGACAATCTTAAACTGTCCGATAAAAACATAAATTGTAAATCAATTTATAGAAAAAAGCTCAGATAATTGCCAAATCATATCAATGATTTAATAATCTCATATGTCCAGACATAATTAGAAGCAACTTCATCATCGCACAACATCAAAAAAATCATTGATTTTCAGTAATAGAAATATCAAATACTCAGAGAAGCTACAAAATCGTAGCGATTTGGCAGACATGTCTACACGGCATCAGTTCAGACCGCCCGTCTGCTGGTATCTCATCATCGGTTTGATTTGATTCAAAAACCCATAAAACGAAATTATTCCAGAATAAAAAAGAAGAAATTATGGCATCAGATAATAAGCGGAGATTGTTTGTCAACACTGTTCATCGGCGTTTTAAGCATAAATTAATCAATTCTTCATTTGCCATTCAAAAAACTTGTTCCAAAAACACAACTCGATAATAATAAGTAAGAGATTTCGGTCGATTCATTTGACGCCAAAGCAATAAAAAGTAGCAATGGGTTGGTAAGATAACCATCTCAATCTCTGCATCCGTTGTAACTCCTCTACCATTCTTTTGATTTTACTCAAGCGGTTAGACAAGGGAGTAAATCTTAAACAGATGCAATTATATATATCCATCAAAATCA